AAAAATACACCATAGAGTTCTATATCTTACAATATTACAGTATATTTTTCTTACTACAGACATTTAGATTCCCTCGTCCGTAATTACTTAGGGCTGACCAAAAGTTATGGCAACATTAAATAAAAATATAAAGATAAGGAGATATTTTTAATTTAATTTTATCAAATGTTCAGAATAGTTGCCATAATTATTTATATCGAGTTCAATCCGTTCTAACAATTTATTAAAAGTTTTTTTGAACTCTTTTTCTAAAAAATGTTTAGCTACCTTGGAAACCACATGAGTACATTTCATTTATTTAATTTAGTTAACCTTCGTTCGATAGAATTATTTAACCAAATATTATGTAGTATTAGGTATGACGAATATGGCAGATGCGATATTATATTGATGCCTTCGTCTGTCAAATAATAAATAACGTCGGATGAGATGAAGTCAGCGATGACCATCAAGCAATTTTGTACATTTTGAACCTGATGTGTCTGTTTGTTTTCGTATTACATTAATAAAAGGCTTCAGACAGTTTTCAATATAATACTTGTGACCTACAGTCCTGCCTTTATCTACACTCAGGACTGTTTGATTTAATGAATATACGAAACAAAGGTTTGCTTCAAATCTGTCTCCATGAACAATAGTCTTTAACTATGTTAGCTGCCATATTGAAGATGAATCGTCATCTTCAATATGCCAGCTAGCATCAGATGACTTATGAATAACCTATCTAAAATGAATCCATATCTTAATAGTGTTAGAACGCAACTGACATGATCGAACAAAATTTCACCAAATTTTAAAACAAATGAAATGTGATGTACTCATGTGGTTTCCAAGGTAGCTAAACATTTTTTAGAAAAAGAGTTCAAAAAAACTTTTAATAAATTGTTAGAACGGATTGAACTTGATATAAATAATCATGGCAACTATCCTGAATATTTGATAAAATTAAATTAAAAATATCTCCTTATCTTTATATTTTTATTTAATGTTGCCACAACTTTTGGTCAGCCCTAAGTAACTTTTCAGTTTTATGAAGAAATTTAAGCTCAAGGCATGGCTAGTGTACAATGATGGATCTAGGATTTTTTCTTTTGGACGGTCTCCGAGGTAGTGTGAGTTTTTCTGAATTTTTTTTAAACCTTCGTTAAAGATAGAAAACTGCGGATTTCTCAGTACGTGAAGAATTTGGAAAGGGGGGAGGCGTACGCCCTTTCGTTCTCACATAGATCCGCCACTACTAATGTATAATTTTCTAGAGCTTACTTGGTACTGTTCCTACATATCCCTATCTCCCTCTATGCAAAAAATAAACAGAAGAAAAATAGTTTTTAAGCTATCGACATTATATCTGCATTTTGCAGAAAGTTGATGCTTCAAATCTCGGAGCATTACGCATATTGTGTAGATGTTGTTTTAGAATGTTATCTTAACTTGTTCATTAAAAAGTTGACCATTCTTTTACTTTTTAGAGATTTTTCATGATGCAGATTGTCGATCATGGCTGACAAAACGGCAACATACACTTCAACATCCCAACACTCGCCACTTGCTGCTGCACTAGATACTCCTTATTTGTTTAAACAACCTTCACCACCGCCATCACTTGAATGTGAGAATCGCCATCAAAATGATTATTATGTTTTTCAACAGAGCCATCAGCAACCAACAACATTAGGCAATTTATATAAACATCCATCAGGCGAAGAAGAAGAGATAGTAATACCAACTACGATGTCTCGTCAAGCGCATTTTGATCTTGTTCATGATGAGGACGAAGAGGAGGAAGAAAACAATAATTATTTTTTGAATAATCATATAGATCTTATACCAATTCAACGTGTCGATTCGCTGGATGAGCAACAGCTTTATATTAAAAAGAAACGAGCAAAATTTGTTGGCCCATATTTATTTGGCGATGTTATTGGGCAAGGTTCATATGCAAAAGTTAAAGAATGCTTGGATAAACGAAATTTATGCCGCCGAGCCGTTAAAATTATGCAACGACGACGCTTACGTAAAACACCAGATGGTGAGAAAATGGCCTATACAGAAATTCGTATATTAAAAAAATTAAAACATCCAAATGTCATACAATTGTATGATTTTATACGAAATGATGAAAAACAAAAACTTTATCTATTCATCGATCTATGTGTTCTTTCATTGCAAGAAATGCTAGAAGAGCAGGAAAAACGAACAAAACATCTAACCAAATCATTTCCAGCATGGCAAGCACACGGCTATTTCACTCAACTCATCAATGGTTTAGAATATTTACATACAAAATCCATTATTCACAATGATATTAAACCTGGAAATTTATTAATAACAGTTGATCATACATTGAAAATTACTGATTTTGGAACAGCAGAAGAATTAGATATATTTAGTTTAGATGATACGATTAAACGCAGTCCAGGTAAGAGAGATCCTTTACACAGCGCTAACATAAATTAGGATGTCCTGAATGTAGGAATAGTAGCATAAAATCTTATAGTAAGATACAGAACTCTATGGTGTATTTTTAGGTACACCTGCTTTTCAATGTCCAGAAATCGCTAATGGCGACGAAACGTATAACGGTTATTGTATTGATATTTGGGCATGTGGTGTGACATTATATAATTTAGTAACGGGTCTTCTACCATTTGAAGCTGATAATATTTATTTATTATTTCAAGTGATTGGTCTAGGAAAATTTTTAATTCCCGATGATATTGAACCAAATTTAGCAAATTTAATTAATGGTCTATTATGTGGTGATAAAAGAAAACGTTTAACTATAGAACAAATCAAACAACATGAATGGTATAAACGGCGACCACCCAAAACATTTGATTTTATCCCTTTTCCAGAAATTGCACTAGAACGTTTTCAAACATTGACAATGTACGATTATTTAATTGATTTACATCAACCGTTGGATGAAATCGAAGGCAGAAGCGAGGATAAGAATTTAACTGAAATTCAACCAAGTTGTGCAGATAATATACACCAAGCAGAAAATAATAATAGTAAAGTAAAAATATCAACATTTCATATAAATCCCGATGGAGATAATAAGAATGAACAACAATATAATCGATCACAACATTCAAAATTAAACTGTGGATCAATACGTTGTACTAGAACAAACCGAACAACAACGTATAATAATAATGACGATATCGTGGATAATGAAACAACAATACCATCAACAAAAAAACAGACTCGTGATTATAAATTTTGTACTTTATCATAATTGGGCTTTCATTCTTTCAGTCTTTTTAAGTGAAATATATACCTCCAGTTTCCTCAAAAGTTGCACTTATCCTATGCACTAGTTAATGTGAGTAGTGATTGCGCATATCCCTGCGTGACATTTGATAGAAATCTTCTAATGATCACTGTATTTTGTACTCTCCTTCTATTTTGCTTTCATAAATTTTATTTTTGTATGTAGAATTAGTTATCATTACGTTGACCTTTCTTTTATCTTGGCGTACAACAGAGCAACGACTTCTCGAGATATGATATTTTTTACTCTATGCTACACATTCCATTTATGCTAATATGGAATGGACAAAGTCAGTCCGAATCTTTTCTTGTCTCCAGTGATCTATTGTTGTTTTACTTTATATAAACATAAGTGTATCTATTTATATAAACGTTCCCTTTGCTTCTGTTGTTGCGTTGTCGTTATCTTTGATAAATATTTCTACATGACTCAATCTTTATTTTTTTGTTTATACAAACTACTTATACAACAAAACATGTTTTGTTCTCTATAGTTTTCTTTTCTTTTTTATTGTGCATGTTTTATTCTTGATTGAACAGTCGGTCTTTTTTTGTTTGTTTTGTTATTAGGAAATATGGGTTCCACTATTTGCTCCGACAATTATTTTTATTATTGTCATAAAAGGTTATTTACTGTTGAAATTTTTCTTTTCTGTTTTGTCTCTTCTAAAATATTTCTTTTGTTATGTGTTCTGACTAAAATTAGTTATGATTTTATATGTTCACAATAATGTTTGTATCTTTCAAACAGAAGACAAAAGAAAATACAAATTAAACAGAATAATATGTAGAAAATAGGTGATAAATATTTTTTCTAGTAGAAATTCAAAGAGTAAGACAATATTGTAGAAGAATTTCAAAATATCTTCACAGAAAAATGTAGTAGAATTTTTTACGAGTTATATAAGTGTAGCAGGCAGTTTATCACAAGATTTACTGAATCTATAAATATTCTTAATCGATCTGTTACAATTTTCAGTTGGATTCTAGTAATCGTCCCGACTTGTGAAACGTCTGTCTCATTTTACAGAGAAATATTTAGTCTATCTATTTGAATCAAACAAAAAATTAAAGGATAAAAGAGAGAAGTTTCTTCAATAAATTGCTGAAGAGATATGAACAATTACATAATCGGAGATCAGTTATCATGCAGAGTTAGATCATTCATATATTTGTGTGATAATTATATTTAAATTCTTTTTTTTCTTCCAACACATGCATGAAGTAAACAGTTCTCTACAAAAATGAGATATTCCGTAGCTTGAGACGATTCTTAATAACCGTATTATAACAATTTTCTAGATGCGCTGATGTCAATTAAATAATTTGTGCATGACTAGTCTCGATTATAGCTGAGAAAATGGAGACAGTGTTAGCGCACATTTTTGTTTTTTGACAAATGAAAATTTGTATCTTATATCTTGCCACGATTATTAATATAGTGTGCGTAAAATATACATAACATTTATCATTACAAGGAAAAGGTTAAAATAATCAAGGTATACATGAACTTGTTTTCTATTATTCTCTGAATAAATGCATAATTTTTACTAAATGTTAGCTGAATTTCGACTCAGGCATAAGTAGCCAAGGCTCTATTTTCTCTTATGAGATCAGATGATTATTAGATGTTATGCTCGTTTTTTGTTCAGTTTAAAGAACTTTATCATTCAGACCTGAATGTTTTTTTTATAAAAATTTTGCACAAGTTTAGGTAATGATAGATGAGTGATTGTTTCATCACGCATCAACATAACAACATAAATTTGTAGAAAAACGAAAAATAATAGACACATCTGTACATCAAAAAAAAAATGCGTAAAACAAATAATTCCCTCTTCGTTAAAACAACTTTGTTTACTAACTAAGAGTACAATCATATATAATATTTTCTGTGGCTCATCTCTTAGATAAATCATATTCACAAGTTCACCGGATGCACAGAACAAACCAAAAAAGAGCAACAGTGTACAAGTGTGTATAGAACAAGGACGGATTTTTGTCCATTTTTTTCTTTTAGCTTACTATATCAGAAATCTTGAAATAATTCTAATTGTCTATCGCTAGCAAAGGGTGTCGATCTCCAATCCTCTTTATACTCATCAAAATTTGTTGTATCCCCAGGATGTTTCACATCTGGTACAATCGGTGGTTTTAATTTTCGATGATAAACATCATCCCATTTTATAGATGAAAACCATGGTTGCTCTTTAACTTCTTTTGAGCCATTTCTACCGGCACCCAATCGTTTATCGGGATTTTGATGTAAAAGTTTTTTAATAAATGCTTTTGTTGATTCATCGATTGTTCTCGGCCATGAGATTTTACCACTTAATACTTTTCCAGGAATTTCACTTTCATTTTGATTTGGATTAAATGGAGTTGCTAAATAAAGGAAAATATAATAATTATTTATTTTAGTTTGATCGAATATTAACTTACCACCACTTAACATTTCAAAGGTTAATATTCCAAGTGACCACCAATCTGTTGATTTATTATGACCGGTACCTTTGAATAATTCTGGACTAAGATAATCGGGAGTACCGCATGTTGTAAATGTTTTATTCATAATTTTCTTAGCAAATCCTTAAAAATAGATTCATATTGAAAATAACTGTTTTACAATGTATAAATTGAATCTAACCGAAATCAACTATTTTCACATGGCCTTCAGCATCTAATAAAATATTTTCTGGTTTTAAATCACCTAGAGGCGAAAAAAAAAGAAAATAATTATTTAAAAAAACGTCTAGATTTGATTTAACCTCATTGACTTACGATACACAATTTGTAATGAATGCAAATATTCAAGAGCTGAAGTTATTTCGGCAGCATAAAATATTGATGTTTTCAAATCAAACGAGCCTTTACGTCTCATATATGTAAACAGCTCTCCACCCGGTAAATAATCTAATAGCATATATAAAAATTGTTCACTATGATGTGTCCAGTGTAATTTAACTATAAATGGATGTTTAATTGCTGCTAATATTTCTTTTTCACTTTTGACATGTTCAGTTTGTCTCGATTGTACAACATGTGTAATGGAAAATATTTTTAATGCATGATAGACGCTTGTTTCACGATCTCGTACCAATAAAACACGACCATAACTTCCCGTACCTACAGTTTTCGACAGTTCTAGACGATCTAATGCTTGTTGACGTCCTTCACGTTCTTCTAAACTAACATTACTCATTTTTTTTGCTATCAATACGGTATCATTTTCGCTATTATTTGCCGATAATGATGGACTATCGGTATATGAACTGTTTGAAGGTGAATGTTGCAATCGACTGCTCATTTTTTACTAATTCTGAGCTAAAAGCAAAAAAAGACGATAAAAACTAGAGTATGCATAAACCAGTTAAACCGCTAGCGGCTTACTACCATAAGTTTACTAAAATAAAAATAAAAAACTTACGTACTACGAAAAAAAATGTCACATTTTTCTGTCGTTTTCTTCAGTTTTAAAAAAAAAATAATGTCTTAATACAAATTTGACGATTTTTTTTCTTTTTTACTCGTTCAAAAAAAAAGAAGTCCTTAGGGAAATATGCGTAGGAAGAATAGTTAATAGCGGATGTGTTGTCAATCTCGTGTGTACAGTTATTACCTGTTCTAGGCAATTTTCATTTTTAGCGTGACTGTTCTGAATGTTGTGTGATAAAGAAGAAGAATTAAGTTTGACAGATATAGAAGAAATTTAACATACCGTCAGTAATGATGAGAAGATGATATAACAAATAAATTACTTCTCGGCTGTTGCCATTCGACTAAATATATACGAGGTATATAGTGCTTTTTATTTTTTTCTTTATTCAGCAACGTGCTCTGTTATTATGAGCCAAGCACTTTGTGACTGTCCACTATAAAGTCGTCGTTCAACTTATTAGTACGTGTGGAAGACAAGGAGAGCTATTCCATCATTCTTATCCATTACATTGAATAGGATCCAGAATATTTTTGTTGCTTACAGTTCTTGAAAAATAAACATTACTTCATCTTATATCCTATAGTTCATGTACTTTATGTCGAAGATGTGATATCTTTAAGTTTTCTTCTTCATGACGTCTCTATCGAATAATGGTAAGGTGTCTCTTGTATGAAAAAAAAGAAAATTGGAAGAAAAATAATAATAACAAAAAATAACAATATATAATTTTTGAAATAGATTGAAAAAGAAAACTCTTTTTCTTTTTTTTTTTTTGATAGCCTGATTATATTCTCTCTTTGCGTAAAGTTCTATCAAAACAAAAAAAAATGTTTCCTTTTGCTTAGCCCATATATGGTTTCGATATCGAAATCTGATCGTTGTTCTTTTTTTTTTTTTTTTTGCTTTTCCACATTTAAAACAGAGTCTGTCTGCCATACATACATCTAGATAAATTTGTCTCTTACTATCTTTTAAATCTAAAGATTCCGATTTACGGAAGAAAGAAAATCTTCATAAGTGCGTGTTTAGTAATTAACGTTATCAAAACTTTATTTACACATAGACACACACACATCGTAAATTTAATAATGTTACTCTTTATATGTAAATTGAGAAAAATGAGACATTATTCTTCGGACGACCTCTTCTTAATTACAGTTAAGTGTCAGATAAAGTAATAAACTTATATACAGATCCGCGCCTACTTTGCTTTAATTCACTGTTTTTCTAGAGGAAGAAAAAAAAAATCTTTTTATAATTAAAAATATGGAAAATACTTTTTGCTTATACTATTATGACAGATTTACTGCCAGAGGCGCAAATGGAATGAGACGTCCTATCTAAAGATGCCAATTAAATAAAAAAATAAAGACGGATGTAAGGAGGACATTTTTCCTTAAGTAGGAAGACAAAATATAACGTATTATTTGTCGTACAATGCCATTGAGAAAATTGAACTGAAAGTGTAATAAAAAAAGTGAAAGGCCCATTGGAAACAGTTATACAAGAAAAAAGCCTGGCAAAGGAGGACAACCGCTGGGACAAATTTCGAAAGGTAAGACGGTTCGCCTAATGAAGAGATATTTGGCAACCTTCCGTCCATCTGTCATATGGCTTTTTTTCCCACTAACGAGGTGTTTTTTTTCTGAATAAAAAAGCAACTTTTTTGACTCTGTTACGGAACTGTTAATGGAATTGAATGTTTCATAGGAGTCGAGTTTTTGAACTTAACGATATTTAGGCAGTGAGTATCAGTATGATCTATAGAAGAAAGAGGTGAAAAAAAATGTTATTTAGACAAATCTTACGTCTGGAAATGTCTCGTCGTACAATGTAAGTTTTATTTTCTCTAACACTTATATACAGTTGGTTTTGTATTAACAAAATATAGTATCACTAGCTTACTAATATGCCTTACCGATTTGTTTTTTTCGAATTAAATTAGACAGTGAAGTAATCAAACTGAACTTATAATGATTTTCAACCTAATGTCACGCAGACAGTTCATGGTCATAGACATATATTCATTTTATAGAAAGTTTACATGTATATAAAGGTAAACAAACAAACAAATAGAATGTTTTCTTTTAAAAAGATTTTTTTATTTTTACAATCTATCAGAGTTCAATAATAGTACTGTTAATAGGATCCGTTTTCTTATTAGAGAAACTTACCACAAGAGAAATGAAAAATAGATTGTCAATTAAATTATAGATTCAAAATGAATTAACGAGACCTTAAATTAAACAAAATTTTTTTCTTACATACATCAGTCACCCAAACATACACAACAATGAAAAATCTTTAAAATGTATAAAAATAAAAAATTGAGTAAATAATGGATTTAGTCTTAATTCGTTTCATAACCTTGCTTTTCATGTCACTCTTTGATACCATTTGATCTTACAAACCAATTAGTGACGATGAATCGACAAAAAATACTAAAGAATGCATGAAATTACATTTGAAAAAGTAAACATATTCACTTTCTCTTTCTCCTTTTTGGTTTTGACAAAAATAGATTGTTCAACAATTTAGTGATGAATTAATCTCAAATGATTACTTAAAATCAAATCATCTCATATATCACTACTCGTCATATTCAAACAAATGAGAAGAACAAAAATACGTCAAAATATTATTTTTAATCATTCGAGTACAATATAGGATCTATTATATTTTGATGTACTGAAAAAAAAGGTTTATTTTATATGTAATAAAGAAATCAAAATTTTTAAAGTAAAGGAATGATTATTTAGTACCATACAGCAATTTGTATTCAATTCAATATTGTATGCACATAAATTGATTTTTTTTTCTTATGCGAAATATAATTCTTCTTCTTCTCATTGAACACAAATTCATTCGTATGCAACTATTATTCATTGAAGAAAACTATAAACTCATTGACACGCTTTTTTTGAGAAAGATTACACAATCCACTCTGATAATAAAATTTAAAAGTATGAGATTAACCTTAGTACTTGGCAAGTCTATTTAGCTAACATAAACAAAATAAATTGTAGTTTAGAACATTAAGCAAGCAAAAATATGTTTCTGACGTTAAATCTTCAGTTTCTTCAATTTTAATTTTAAAGAACAGTAGAAAGTACTAATAAAAAAAATCTCGCTTTCGTCTCATAATAAAATCGTATGTGTTCTACTATGGTCCATAAGGTTTTCTTTTTGATAAAATATCACAATTAAAGGCCATAATTTTAGCGAGCCTAGCCAATAATGCGATAAACATTAAAGTTAACATGATAGAATAAATTTATTTTATTCTATCAGAATGAAATATTTTTCCGAGAAAAAATTTTATCACGAAAAAAATATGTTAATGTTGATCATGATTCTATTAAATCATAACATATAACGCAATAATCACGATAGTCTATGATTAACGGTGCTCTTCTCCTTTTTTTTTGACTTTCCGTAGAAATACTGTGAAATAAAACCTAAAAGTCACTAAGGCTTTATATTTTCAGAACTGACTGGAAACTCAATGGAGCATATTTTCGTTTTTGTTCTAAGTTTTTATTTATTACCGTTCACGAATGTTCCAGAAAACTCGGTTTTTCATTGTATCACATTACCACCTCCTTAAAATTTCATTCGATCTAGTTAAAAATTTTACCAGAGGTACTCAAGGTAATATCACAGAGGTATTTTTTGAAAATTTTTTTAAGACCTTTCCTGGTCGAGTTATAGAAAAAATACTGAAAAACCTCTCAAAAACAAAGTTTTTCAATTTTACAAATCCTATAACTCGTTAAGGAAATTAAGTCTTAAATAAAATTCAAGAAAAAAATACCTCTGATAAAATTTTTAACTTGATCAGATGAGATTTAAGGAGGATCGTAATGTGACACAATGAAGTCTAATAGCAAAAAAATAGTTCTCGAGCAAAACGCATTTTGTACACAGGTCACTTTTTTTTAGGGCATTTGCCGCGATGTTTTGAGATCTATTTTTCAATCGAGACACAGTGACTGCTTGAACGTTTTAACTTCTGCCTTCGTCTGAAAGCCTCAGAAAATTTTTCGAACTTTATTTTCAATTAGAGTCTTCTCAAGAAATCTCGAACTACACAGACTATCAGCATGATGTTTTTTGAACCACTTTTCGTGTCTAAAAATGGCGCGACAAAAAAGTGTGTAACAGTGTTACGTTTGTTTTTTGCTTTTTTTACGCGAGTAAAAATAGTTAGAACGAAAGTTCTTTTATTGCTGGTTCGATACTCTACAAAATTTGTCCTAGGAGCACTTCATTTGGAGAACGACTTTTGCAGGAAATTAGAACTTTAGCAAGAGTGCTCCGAATTTAGGGTCTTTTTATGTAACAGCGTTACGCGATGAAAAAACCTTTCTCGAAGCTAGAGACTTCAACCAACAAACTTCGTTTTCATAGCATAAATAGAGTATGATGAGCTGCGTCGAATGGCGTTTTAACGAACTTTTCAGCTCTCCAACTTTCCGAGATAATTGAAAAAAAGTGTATCAAAAACGTAACAGCGTTACGTTTCGACAAGCCGTTGTATACGTGTTGAGTACGTTCATTTCTGCTAATAAAGGAGGAGAACAATAGGACCAGTTGTGAATTTTGTCAGGTGAATGTTAAGCCCTATCAATTAAAGAAAACTAAATAAATTGATAATTAAGTAGTAGTGGACGTGGTTTGTGATAAGTTTTAGAATCGATAGATTCGAAATCTGTGAAGACATTCATTCAATTTTGGAAAATAAATCATATAATAATTGTAAAATTAATTTCATTTTATATGTTGTTTATCTAAAAAGCCAAACAGAATTTTTTATTTTTGAAATACTTAAAATAGACAAAAAAATTTGGCTTGCCCATAAGTAAGCACTTGATGAAAAAATTTTGTTCTATAATTAAAAATAAAATTTTTTTTTATAGCTGTTCATAAATATGGTTTCTTTTCTTCTTAAGTGTTTAATTAGAATATTTTAGAGTTTTTACGTACTTTTTCTCTAGAATCCCAGAATAATATTTTTATGATATAATCATAAACAATTATTTGTTTTTTGACGTATTTTGTTTGTCTAATACGGATACTTGTGCTATGTTATTTTGTCTTAGTCGGCCCAACGGTGTTGATTTATACCACATTTTCAATTTATTTTCTTCATCAATGAATACTGGTGTTTTTGTACTAAGTATCGGAATAAAATCTTCGGCTTTACAGACATTATTATTATATTTATTTAGTTTTTTATTATTAACAACGTTTTTGATTGTCTCAAGAATTTGTCCGGCTGTATAACCTAAACAAACAAAGACAAAACTATTCTATGTCACATATAATTAATAATTAGTTCATAATAAATTACCGTTTGATACCGATGCTAATATACTTAATTCAACATCAATTATTTTCATACTATATTTTTCAATTAATGTTTCAAACCAAATTTCTAAATAGAAAAGCGTACGTAATTTGAATTCTTGCGAAGAATAAGATTAGACTCATAGTGCATACTTCTTCTTGAACCATAGTTTGGTCGTGGAAATAGTATAATTCTTTCATAAACTTGTAATAATTGTTTTAATCGAGCACGATAGGGTTGTGAGGATGTTCCCACCAGCATTACACGTTCACCAGATTTAAACTTTTTCATAAATGCTCTAATTTTACGTTTTAATCGAACAGGACTCAACTAAGTATCAGATGTTTATTAGAGAAAAAAAACTACTTTTCTATATTTTTGATCATTATGGCTCTTCTTGTTAGAAAGCTATCTCTGGAATTGTTAGTCGGATCTAAGTGAACCTTGAAGGGGATGTAGGTCTTCTCAAGGTATAGCTACGATAGTAATTTTCTATCGGTCGGTATCCATGAGATATTTTTCAAACATGGCTCAAAATCGTGCAAAGTATTGTTAGAAGTTCGAGAACGTCTAAAATTAAAAACTAGGATCATTGAAATCTAACCTTTCACAAAAATATCGAAATTTCTGAAAAAAAGAGCTTTTTAGACTTCTCAGTAAACTTGCCCGCAAATACTAAGAAATCTATGATATTGACAAAAATAGTGGACATGCTGAGAGTAGACCGTGCGCTATTCAGCAATGTGCTTTAGCTCAGTGTGCTTTAAAGAAAATCTGTATTTTTGATATAAAGTGGAAAGGAAGAGTTTAATAATAAATGTGAGTATGTGAGAATATTATTAATACCTCTTTTTCTTGAGCAGTTAGTTTTTTTGTGTATAATAATTCCGTATCGCGTAACATAATGATAATCGGTGGCATTATTGCAACAAGCTGGAGTAATAGCATATTTTTATCGATGAGAAAGAAAGATAAGTGTAAAGAAAATCTAATACCCTTTTGACCATTGCTAATAAGACTTTCAGTCCATCAGTCGTACTATACGAATTTTTTAAATTTGCTGGCGATAAATCAACTAATAAACCACCAACTTCATTGCAAGCAATATGAATTAAAAATTCTTTACCACTACCTTTGGGACCGACCAACAATACCGATCGTTTCGATGATAAATTCAAGTGAACATTTTTTGAACCTATACTATCACGAACAAATTATGAAAAAAACGATATTTATTTATTTTAACGATTTGATTTTTCTAAAGCAAATGTAAATGAACAGCGATTAAAAATCTTCCTCTTGCCGTCAACAAAGTTTGTGTTTCCAAGACATACATTAGAGTCCTGAAGGTCACGCGTAACTTGTCCTAACCTGTCTTGGTCTGCAGGTCAGGACAGGTTACGCTGTCCATAACCTGTTTTCAATCTGCAAAAAAAAATACACATCTGTAAAGGGGAAGAAAGAAGAGGCTCGAAAGATGGTTTTTGTTGAAGAAGCGTAATTTGATAACTCAAGAAGATGTGTTACAAGAATCCACTGATGAAGGAGAATCAAATTTTGATGGTGATGAGGATGGACACAAAGACAGTCGTTGAATCCAAACGTTATTGATGATATATTGTTGATCTGAAATTTTAGAGATAAGTGATCTTTTGTTATTGCTTTTTTATGCATGAATAGAGTAAATGAAGAGAACGAGGAAAAATATTCGTACTAGAGTTTTGGATTAACTTTTTTTGCAGGTCGTAGGATAGGAGAGGCTACAGGTTGTGAAAAAGTTGCAACGTGCAGGGCTCTAATGTACATCTCGTCCCAGTGGAGATTAGCAATTCAAATGTTGTAAGCCACAAAATTTTCAACCCTCACTAAAAAAAACGGATTATGTTGCTAAGTATACAAAATCGAAACATTTTCTTAATGCAATATTCTCTGACTACACTTTAAATTACCTAATGGCAATATAATTTGCAGCACAACAAGTTGTCGACAATCAAGTAACGATGGCATTGGTTCTTTTTCAGCATAACGGATTGTCTCGGCCAGATATTGATAATCACCGATGTAATTGGATAATCGTACAGGTTTAGGAGGTATTACAATGCCTGTTTCCACTAATTCTTCAAATATAGAATCATTTGTTCTAAAACAGTATAAAACTCAAACTTTATAATATTTGTTATCTACTTTTTTTCTACAGCTACTGTTTATATTCTTTTCATTTTATAATATTGCTTACAAAAGATTCTCGAATGCAATATTTAGAAACGGTTCCACCGCTGAGTCTACTAGTAAATATCACCATTATTACTGACGTTACCATTGTGATCCAACTTACCGATTAGCCACAATATCTTTAACGTTTTTTCTTTTATTTCGTTTTTTCCGTTTCTTCTTCGATTTCTTCTGTTTATCAACTGCATTATCAATTGACTACAAGAAATTAATGTTGTGGTTAAGAAACTCAAACACGATACAGAATCTGACAAAATTTTTTTGTCATGATTTTTTTGTCACTGATAATTTCACATGTATATCTTAAGTCAAAATACAGCGTTAAAATTCGAATACGTAAAAACAATTACCAACTTCAAATAAATCAATTCTTTACGAAGAGTATTATCAGCTTCTTTCCGAAGTTCATTTTCTACTTCAGGACGGAAATTTTCCATTGCTAATAATATATCGTATTTTTGCTCTTCATTAAAGCTTTCATCACGACCATAAAATAATTCTAAAAGTGCGAGGATAGTTAAGATACATTTTTAGATCCAGTTAAAGTTTAACCATTTTGAGGCAGATATGTTTAGAATGTTGTTCATAGTATTGTTCCATATTTAGTTTGCCTTAGGTAAAAAACTTTCGCGCTTCAATGGTCTTGCTCAGATAAAATTCATTCTACTATCGATCCACAAATACAGTGCAGAGTGGCGTTTTTCGAATAACGTTTTATGGAAAAGTCCTAGCGATCTACGGTTTTTACCATCGTGTAGAGGACGATTTTTACCCTTAGAAAAATAGTAAGCCCCACAAGGTGCACTACCTGTAGGTGGTAAGCCTTATCGATCTTTGAAAGAGTAGGTTGCCGAACCAAGAAAAAAAGAGCAAAAAATTTTCCCCCGATGCTGGCTCGAACCA